AGCCTCACTTACTAAGGAGTTCAATCCACCGTATGTTGAAGGTTACAACCTAGCTTCTTAAAGCTGTACACAATCAACACCATAAACTCTTAAAGATTATCCTCACTCTTAAGCTAAAAATCTCACAATACAAAGTTTTTTGAAGTTTTTGCAAACTTAAAGAACTTCTCTAAGGTTAGGTGTTTGCCAACTTGAAGTACAACATAATGTTAAGAAGAGGATTAAGAGAAAAACTGATACAATAAAGAATTTTCTACACCTTTTACTTTTGAACTAGTTTTAATGCTTTGAAAAAAATGGTAGATGGATGCAATAAGTTATCTTAGCTTTTCTTTCTCTTCATTTGCAATAGAAAGCTTCATTTATATGTTGACAAAAAGAGATGGCCGTTGCTTAGATTTAATGCTTCATGCATGTAAATTTTCAGACAAGAAACTAGTCGTTCAAAGCTTTTTGGGCATTAGGGGATTGATCCCTTTATGTAAGGGATCGATTAGGTTAGTGATAGGAAAACCCATTTTTGTGTGTAAAAATAACTATCCGATCGATTAGGTAGTATACCTGATTAATCCTACGCTTAGGTGATCGATCCCCTATGTGAAAGAATTGATCCTTTTTGTTGATTTTGACCCAACTTTGCTTTTTGTATAAAAAATAGATTGATCCCTTTAAGGGGAATAATCGGGTATGTTTATAACCCTAATCAATCGATCCTTACGGGGAGTGAATCAATTGATTCTTGATAAATTTGCAAAAGTTTGGCTATTGAAAGAAAAATGGATCGATCCCTTTAGCCAATGGATCGATTAGGTAAGGGAATGGATTGATCCATTCCCTTAGAGGATCGATCCTTTTATCCAAAACATGCTAAGAACCCATTTTGTTTCCAAAATTTGTTTTATTTTAGTTCCTAAATGAATTTTAGCAAGATAGAAGGTTGGAAAAATGTTCAATTTAAGATTAAGTAAATTTGATTCCAATTAGACAAATTGTTGTTTTGTCAATTCAAAAATTTTTATCAATTTAAGGAGAACAATTTGGATTAACAGTCAAAATACAAATGCTCGGCAAAGTTCTCTTCAATATCGTCTTATATTCCTTTTCCAATTTTCCCAGACACCAATGGTGATATTTGGAAAATTCTTAATGTACTAAGAATCAAATGCAAGAATGACTAAAAAGGATTCTAAACAATTACCTATTTGTCCTATTTTTGGCTTTCAAATAACTTTAATGCAAGTTCTTAGGATTCTCATTCTTTCTAGTTCCAACTTTCGACCCATAACCAATAATGAGTACTTCAATGTCTCATAAATAAAAATTAACAAAAATTACATATTTATAGTCAAAATATTATGATATCGTAACAAAAATGTTTCTAACAAAAAGTACCTTGAGACCAATTGACAGAGCCATGAGCACAATATCATCTCTCCACTCTTCCCCCTTTTTTGTTTGCTTTCCTACAATACCCAATAAATCCAACCTAAAATCTAAACACAACCCCATACAAAATTTACTATTTTGCAAGGTACCTCTTATTCTCTATGCTTTTTTTTTTTCAACAAAAAGATGAGGGAATGATATATATTAAAATGTCAAATTAAAAAATCATTAGCAAGTTTCAGAATGATGTTTACTTCAATCAAAATAGAATTACCTTTTTTGAAGAAATGGACAACCTTATCTTAAGCTAATGATGAAGGATGAACTATAGAGGCTCCTTCAACATTCAAATAATCATTCCATGAAGTCTGCAAAAGAAACAACTTACATATTAAAAAACCATCATTATGATTTTTCATGCACGAATGATTTTAAAGGTAATATTAGGAAATGTATAAAATTTGAAAAGTACAATATTTTTTATATTTGTGAAAGAAATATTAAGCAAAGAGATTGAACCTTGAATATCATCTAGAATTCCAAGATATGACCTCCTATTCTACTTGCATTCAAACATCTAGAGTACTAATTAACAATAAACCAAATAACATGGTTTTTTTTTTTAAAAAAAACAAAATTTACAATATCATAAGTTAAGCTTGGTTCACAATTGTGTAGGAAATTTCAAGTGCTATGCAAATCATTGGGCTAAAACTATGATATAAATATGTCAACCTCACCTTCTCTAGCTATGACTAGATATGTAATATACAAATCATAAGTTCATGATTGATATGATAACTTGACATTTTTATTTCCAGATATACTTAAACATGGATAACTCTTCAAAGAATTATCAGCTTCGGTTGTTGGTTCAAGAATGTGTACAATTTTGCATCTTAATGTACATTGGAAATGTATTAATTACCCGATGATAGTCTTTCTCAAAATGTTTAGTTCTTTGTCACTAATGAACTCATGTATTGTAGACCAAAAGTACTATTATTAGATGTTTCATAATCACTTGCTTAGATATTAAACCATTTTAATACAATATCTGATGGCTTTTCCTGCTTGTTTTTTGCAAGTGGACTTTTAGGTCACAAGAATTGGCATCACATTGTTCAATTATGCGAACTTTGAAATAAAAAATGGATTCAATGGTCCCTCTGATTTATAACATATATTACTTGACTGTCTTAGCAAATTCATATAATCTTCCATTATTTTTATTATAATTTTATAATTATTCAATCAAAACAATGGATTATGTCAAGGTCTAGCATTCGAAGACCTAAATAGACCTATTACCATGAAAAAAAGAGATTTCATAATTGTATACAATTTTAGTGGTTCAAAAAAGATAATTGATAATTTTTTTTAATCTTTTAGAGTAAGAAATGAAAATAAAATTAAGAATGGATGGGCCTTGACCCTAAGCAACATAAGTGCAAACAATAGTGGCATCACCGATAAGCTTGAAATCCTGAACACTTTGAAATTCATCCAAAGCTTCTCCCATACCTTGGTTTCATAAATTTTTAACTTGTCACCATCCATTCACTCCAATTTTATATAGTACATAGTCCCAAATACCAACAGCTACTTTATATTCAACACTTTTTTAAACTCCAACATCGCATTTTACATTTTATGACCCAAAAACTAATAATAATAATAATAATGATGATAATGATAATGATAATGATAATGATAATGATAATGTTAATAATGATAATTATAATAATAATAATGATAATGGTAAAATAATAATAATAATAATAATAATAATAATAAAACCAAGTAATTAAGAATAATTTGAATAGAATTAAGATGTAAAAATTGTAATTAAAAAGGAAAAATAGTTACCTTCACCAATAAACACAACGTTAATCACCACAATAACATCAATTCAAAACCCACAAAACAACATGCATGGATCCAAATAAAAAAGACACAACTTAACAAAAAAAAAAAAACCACCATGCATGCATGAAAAAAAAATCCAAACATAAAACTAATACCCAAAAAACCCCATGACCATATAAAAAGAACAATCTTGGGGTGTTGTTTTGCTAACTACCTTAAATAGTTAAACCTTTGTGACAATGATGAAGTAGCATTGAAGCAAACTAAAAAAAACAAGCAAAATCAATAATCCAAAAAAAAAAAAAACAAAAAGAGAAGAGAGACAGCGAGAGAATAAAATTCAAACCTTTATAGTCAACATAAAGAAGGGTGAATCATCGATCCAGACATGCTTTTGCTTCATTCTTTTCTTTTATTTTCTTTTTCTTCTCTCCTTTTATCTTTTTTAATTCTTTCGGTTGTTAGGTACAGAAGTTTCTACTTTGTTTTTCAATTTTTCTCGTCTTTTTTTTTTCTTTCTCTTTTCAAATCTAAAAGCTTTTCCTTTTGCAGCATCTCTAGAAGTTTCTTCATTAGTCCACTAATTATAAAATAAGGACAGTTTCAATTGTAAACAACTATTAAACAAAATTTACCTAATTTTACCTTTTAATTTTTTTTTAAGATATCACTAATGTGTACAATAAATTGTAGTATGGGGATTGCTTTTATTGTAAGTTATAGATAATAGTTGGTTTGAAAAAATTCATATATGGAGACAAGTTGAACCTTTTATCTATGCAATAAGATTTAAATTAATTGTCTTGTAAAAGAAAAAATATTTACTTTTTTTTTAAATAGAATTGTTTTTTAGTAATCTAAATAGTCATTTAATTTTTTTTTTTTATAATTAACATGGGTAACATTTGAATTTGTTAATTTATAATGACTTAATATTGAATTTTATTATTATATATATTTTATTGAATTTTATTATTATACATAATTTATTGATTTTTAATAAAAAATCAAAATTAAAATATTATATAGAATATCATTTTAATGCAATTGATAAAACTATGTTAATTTCATTATTTTTTTAATAAAAAAACAATTAATAATAACATTTAATATTAAATCATAAGACAATGATAAATTTGACCTTGAATCCTTGTTAATATATTTTATTATTGAAAAATCTTACTTTAGTATCATTATGTGCTTAATATATAATATTATTATAAACTTTTAAAAATATATTTAAAATCAAATCAAACTTTTTTTAAAATTGATTTGAGTCAAACAAAATTTTATCAATTTAGTTCAAGAAATTTTAAAAATTATTTTTTTAATTTTTGATATTATTTTACTATAAATTTTACATATTTAAATAAATTTAGATATAAAATAATTATTTTTATTTTTATAAAATTTTAAAAAATATAAATTAATAAAAATATATAATTATAATCGAATCATATATATATTTGATTTTTTGATACAAAATTAAACCGAACCTAATAAAACATTTAATATCTAAAATTAAATAACATCAAATAAAAAAATTAATCTAAATCAAATCGAATATTATAATTTCAAATTAATTTTTAATTTATTTATTTTCCTCAGTTTTACTTTGTGATGAAAAGAATTGTTAACTTCTAAGGGCATTGAAGTCAATTCACTGATGCCAGCTCTCCCTTCTACAGCACTGCTCGGAGCCCCTAATCCTCTCTTTATCTAACGCTTACAACGATCATCCCCATCCTCGTTATGAAATAAAATATTTATTACTACTAAAAACTAGATAATCGAAAAAGAGCCCCCCCAAAAAATTAGAAAATCAATGTCTTCGAATAAATATGTACTTACTTAAAATTTCTATTTTCGCAGACCTTTAAAAAGAAAAAAAAAAGAAAAAAAGAACCATTAAGCCCCAAATTGAACTTTTTTTAAACCCCAACCCCGAAATTAATTCGACTCGCACCTTACTTTTTTTTTTTTTCCTCTTCTCGATCGTCTCCTTTTCCTTTTATCATCTCTCTCGGTGTCATACGCTCGTGTCAATTTCCCTTCGCACGTGCAATTCAGGCGGTGTTTCGCTGACTCCTTGCGTTTTCCTGTTTTATTTCCCGATCGTCGTGTCATCGCGATTCTCGGTCTTACCATCGGAATTCTCGAAGCTCCGATCGTAGTTGCTCTTACTTCTGCGTTCAATTTGCATTTTTTCTCAGGTTCGTTTTTAGGGTTTTCATTTTCTCCTTGATTGTTTTAGTAAATTAGGTTTTTTATTTATTAAACTAGGGTTAGTTATTTCTTATTGCTTAATTCACTAATTAGGACCGTGTTTTATCTTGGAATTCCCAAATTGGGCTTTTCTTGCTTCATTGACCGAAATTCCCCAATATTTCATCCAATTTAGCAAATTTCAGTTTCATTTTTGTTGAACAATGTGAAATTTTTAAAGTTGAGATTCAATTATTGAAATTTGAGTTAATTTATTCAACTTTCCTGAATATCTACCGGCAGGGTACATTAAATACAGAAATGCCATAAAAGTGATGTATTTGAAGTGACAATTTAAGGAGGGAAAAAAAGAAGGAAGCATGAGTGGTGGTGGATGTTGTGATTGTACGGCGAGAGTGTGGAATAAGTTATGCTGGTTTTTCTAGTTGTGGTAGTTACTAAGACAAGGCGAAAACGAAGAAGGAATAAGGACAGAAATGGATGTGCAGGCACATATGTCAGGACAGATATCAGGACAGGTGCCTAATCAAGGGGGATTGGCCCAGCAAAATGGGAACCCTCTTCAGCCTGCCCAGATGCAGAATTTAGGCGTTGCTGGAGGTGTGACTGCTGGTCGCATTGTTGGCGCTGGAGGTCCTCTGCATAATACAATGAATATGGACCCTGACCTCATCAGAACACGTGAATATATGCAAGGGAAGATGTAAGATTTTCTATAACTGTAGTATTTATTTTTTACCATTTATACAAAATGTTTGCATCTGCTGATTGATTTAGTTTAAATTACAGAGAAATTTGAAATAAAAGCTGAATAAGACATTGAGTTAATTCTGTCTGAATGCTATTTAATACCAATAGAAGCTTGTTATCATTTGTGTTCATCGTTATCTTTTTTTTTTTGTGTGTGTGTGTGTGTGCGTGTACAATTGTGCATGTTTGTAATGTACATGTGCTGCTTGATTCTCAGTTGCATGTCAGTAACATTCTTTTGTTATAGATGGTGGCATTTTTGCTTTTTATTTTTATTAGTTCTATACCACTGTAAATTACACCCTTTAGTTGAGATTATATTTATATTTGTTTCTCTACTTCTACAAAATGTGCATAGAAGTTAGCATACAAAAGTAACTTAGTGACAAAATCACTGTAGGACTTAGATGTCTGTTTTTCACTTAAACTTAGTGATCTATGTTATATATTAAGTATCATTGGTAGGATTCTACTGTGAAGAAAACAGTGAAAAAGATTTTTGCAGTTAAATAGTTTGGTATCTGTTTGTGTAGGAATTTATGAGCCTGTAGATAATGTTGATTCTTCTTTGAGATATACATTGATGCATGCATCATTAAATAGTTGTTTCAACAATTTAAGAGCCATTTTCTAGTGCAACAAGGAAGGCTTCTGGTTCAAGTTCAAGTTTTTAGAGAGCTCTCTCTCTCTCTCTCTCTTAAAAAGGAAAAAAGCTAAAGGAAAAAATTGTTTGTTCATTGTTCTTAAGACTCCACATAGGTGAGAGAAGATGTATGTAATGATCCTTGTAATTTTCCATTGATATGGAGATGGATATTTAAATCATATGCAATGGAAAATTATTTTCTTGTTGTTGATTTCATATAATCATTGTTTTTATTTAGCTTCTATGTGAGATTAATCTATATATCAAGATTAGCCATTTCAGTCTTAGAATTTTTGTTATTATATCAGTGTGTAGTGTTCATTTCTTTTTTATAACTTATGCAATTTTTGATCTATTTTTTGCCAGCATTGAGGTTTTGAAATTGCGGCACCAGCATCCTATTACTGATGCATCAATGATCAAGTTTCAAGATTTTGTAAGACGGTTGGAAGAAGGCCTATTTAGGATCGCTCATACAAAGGTTAATTATTTTGTCAAATTACTATGTTTTGAGCAAATCTGTTTCTTGACTGATGCTTTTTCCCGTTTCATTTGTATATTTTCTTTCTTTACCCTTTTTTTTGTCTATTTTCTTGATTTTCTTTCATACTGTACAAGCACATTTCTTTTGCATTCTTCTGATCACTTTTAATTCTTTGTGCTACAACTTTCTTTTATTTCCCCTGATTTTTGATGCTTGAAATTTGTTTTCTAGGAGGACTATACAAATTTGAGTACTTTAGAGCACCGTTTACAGACTCTAATAAAGGGGAGCAGAAATGTGCACAACCAAAGACATGCGCAGCTTGTTAATTCGGCATCAGCATCGGTTGGTACAATGATACCGACCCCTGGTATGTCACACAGTGGCAGTCCTAGCATCATGGTTACATCTTCCATAGATACATCTATGAATGCTGCCAGTGCAAGCATTGCTGCTACAAATGTCAATACAGGAAGCCTGTTGCCTACTGGTGGAATGACTAGTGGTTCCTTTGGTAGATCTGAAGGTAAATTTGAGCCTTACAGTCTTTTATAATTGTAATTAAATAGCATTTTCCACCAAGGGTAACAGAATGGTACTTTTATAGGAAATATGTCTAATGGGTATCAACAGTCACCTACAAATTTTCCTATTGCTTCTGGTGGAATGTCATCAATTGGTGTGCAAAGAATGACAAGCCAAATGATTCCCACTCCTGGATATAATAGTAATAACAATAATAGTAGCATTAATAGTCAGTCTTCCCATAATGTTGGTGATCTTTCAACCGTTGAATCAACGATGGTCTCGCAGCCACAGCAGCAAAAGCAACATGTTGGTGGTCAAAACAGTCGTATTTTGCACACCCTTGGCAGCCAAATGGGTAGCGGCATCAGGTCTGGCTTGCAGCAGAAAACTTTTGGGTTTCCTAATGGATCCCTAAATGGTGCATTGGGGATGCTGGGCAACAATATGCAAATTGTTAATGAACCTGGGACTTCTGGGGGTTATCAGACTAACACCTCTTTTGCTAATTCACCAAAACCTTTGCAACAACACTTTGACCAACATCAGCGACCCCTAATGCAAGGTAACATTGTGATTTCATTTGTCTTTCTCTATTCCATTTGATTTAGTAATAATGAATCTGAATATGTAATTTGTTATTCGGATATATGAGTTGTCTCAAAGAAAGCAATTCTTTGTGTCAGGCGATGGATATGGAATGAACAGTTCCGATTCTTTTGGGTCTGGAAACTTGTATGGTGCTGTAACATCTGTTGGATCAGTGACAAACTCTCAGAATTTGAATCCTGTTAATTTGCAGTCTATGTCCAGAACAAATTCTTCTTTGATAAGTAATCAGTCAAATTTACATGATGTGCAATCAGCTGCCCATATGAAGCCCCGTTCGTTCGATCTATTTGAAAAGATGAATTTCCAACCTGCCATTTCTTTGAGAGACGATGTCCTTCAAGTTAATCAACAGCAACAATTTCAGCAGCAGCCCCTTCAGTTCCAACAACAGCAGTTTTTGCAACAGCAATGCCATCAGAAGCAGCAAAATCAGCAACAACAAACTCTGCTGAGCAATAGTGGTTATAGTCGGTCTCAGCTGGCATCTGATTGCAGTCTAGTGAAGTGTGAACCTGGAGTGGAACACCATGCCGAGGTTCCACATCAACAAGTTCCTGAACAATTTCAGCTGCCTGAATTGCAGAATCAATTCCAGCAGAACCATGCGGAAGAGCTCTCTAGTCAGTTGGGTATGTGTTCATCGCTGCCTCAAAAGTCTAAGCAAATGCAACAGATGTTGCATCAACACCAATTGATTCCAGAGTCTCAAAATGATTATAAACTTTCGGCTGGAGTGCAGTTGGAATCAGTTGGGCAGAGCCAGTGGCACCCTCACTCACAAGATCGGGCTCAAATGCCAGGGAACATGTCACATGAGCAGCATATCCAAGAGGATTTCCACCAGAGAATAACCAGGCAGGATGAAGCTCAATGTAACAATTTGTCTGCAGATGCATCCACTATCAGTCCAATGGTTGTTCCTAGAAGCTCATCAGATACTTCAAATTCGAGGGGTGCCATCAATAGATCTGGAAATGGGAGCCATGACCGGCAGTTCAGAAATCAAGTGAGGTGGCTTTTGTTTCTGCGCCATGCTCGTAATTGTAAAGCACCTGAGGGTAAGTGTGATAGCTATTGTTTTACTGTACGAAAGTTGTGGAGTCATATGGATAAATGTGAATCATCTCAATGCTCATATCCTCGATGCCATCACTCCAAGATATTGATTCGTCATCACAAGACTTGTGCAAATCAAACATGCCCTGTTTGTGTTCCTGCTAAAAATTATGTGAAGGCTCAGAAGGCACGTGCCTGTCTAAACACTGCTTCTGTTTTGCCATCCTCGGATAGTGGATCTAATAAAACATATGATGCTGGAGACATTTCAGCTAGAATGACTTCTACAACTGCATTGATTGATACTTCTGTAGACATACAGCCTTCACTAAAACGCATGAAGATAGAGCAGTCTTCTCGGTCTGTTATTGCTGAAAGTGAAGGTCCTGTAGTATCAGGTTCTGTTGTTGCTGAACCTTATATATCTCAGGATATCCAGTGCCAAGATTACCAACACGTTGACAGGCGTATGCCAGTTAAATCTGAGCCTATGGAAGTGAAGACCGAAGTCCCCAAGAGTGCTGCTAAAGATAGTCCTGTTATTATTGAGATGAAGGATGCTGTAGAGGACATTAGCAATCAGAATACTGATGGTGGGCCTATTACATGTGATCAATTTGGTGGTCTACCTAAGCAAGAAAATGCTACGATTGAAAAGGAGCCTGACTCAGTTAAACAAGAAAATGTGACACAGTCTTCCGAAAGTGCAGCTGGAACTAAGTCTGGGAAACCAAAAATAAAGGGGGTGTCACTGACCGAACTGTTCACCCCTGAGCAAGTTAGGGAGCATATTACAGGTCTAAGGCAATGGGTTGGCCAGGTATCTTTATTGTAGTGTTGTGATTTGTTTCATGCTGTTTTTAGTATTGTATGTAGATCATTCCTAAGTTGTCAGAGGTGAATATATGTGCTAGCTTACTACTTGATGTACCAGAAAATGGACTTGGAGACAGAACAAGGTATATTGATGATAGTTATTTTCTTTCTTTTACAGAGTAAAGCAAAGGCTGAAAAGAATCAAGCAATGGAGCACTCAATGAGTGAGAACTCATGTCAGTTATGTGCAGTTGAGAAACTTCCTTTTGAACCACCACCTATTTATTGCAGTTCATGTGGTGCTCGCATTAAGCGAAATGCAATGTACTATACAATGGGAGCTGGTGATACACGACATTACTTTTGTATTCCATGCCATAATGAGGCTCGTGGAGATATCATTGTTGCCGATGGAACTGCCATTCCTAAGGCAAGGCTTGAGAAGAAGAAGAATGATGAAGAGACTGAAGAATGGGTATTTACAATACATACTTTTTTGAGTGTTATGATATTTCATGATCATCCCTAACAGTTTCTCTTACATGTTTCTTTGTCTTCAATAAAATTGAGCAGTGGGTTCAATGTGACAAGTGTGAGGCTTGGCAGCATCAAATTTGTGCTTTATTCAATGGTAGAAGGAATGACGGTGGGCAAGCTGAATATACATGCCCCAATTGCTATATCGCTGAGGTTGAAAGAGGAGAGCGCAAGCCCTTACCCCAGAGTGCTGTCCTTGGGGCCAAAGATTTGCCAAGAACAATCCTTAGTGACCACATGGAGCAGCGATTATTTAGGAGACTGAAACAGGAAAGACTAGAAAGGGCAAGGGTTCAGGGAAAAAGTTATGATGAGGTGATTAATATTCTCATGATAACAGTTGATTCTATGTTGTATATCGTGATCTTTTTGCTACTTTAACGTTGCTTAGAGATGTTCAGAATTGCTACAAATTCACACACACGTGCACACATCAAAAAAAAAAAAAAAAAGAAAGAAAGAAAGATAGCTATATTAGTAAGCTTGCTTGTTCCTAGTTATATGGTGAAGAAACAAAAGCTGTATTGGTGATATAAGTTGAAGCATATTTTTTGCTGGTGATTCAGCTTTTAGCATGGAGGTTTTTAGTTTTTTTTTTTTTTTTTTAATTGTGAGAACATTTAAAAATGGGGTGATTGGATCATACTAACTTTTGTGTTTGAAAGGAACTGGATGGCTTTGATTGGTGTTTTACATGTGCCACCTGTTAGCCAGTTATAGGTCACATAGCCACAAAGCTTATTGTCTATAGTGCAGAACTTAAAACTTCTGATTCCTTTAACTTGGGCCCATTAACTTTCTTCTATATATGGAATATCTTTTTGTTGTTACTGTTGATTTCTTTTCCGGTCTTTTGAAGTTGCATGTTAGTCCTTTCTAGTGACTTCTTATGGACTTCTGCTGCTGAAGGAAAAATAAGTTTATTTCTTTTTTCATTGATATTTCCAGGTTCCTGGGGCTGAGGCACTTGCTATCAGAGTTGTTTCATCAGTTGACAAAAAGCTGGAAGTCAAACAGCAGTTTCTTGAAATCTTTCAAGAAGAGAATTATCCACCTGAATTTCCCTATAAATCAAAGGTGCCAAGGATATAAATTAAGTGTAATAGATGCTTGTATGTTCTTTTTTTTTTTTTTTTATAGATTAAGTGTAATACATGCTTGTATGCTGCAAATGTCACTTTTAATTGTAATTATGAAGTGCTTATGCGTTATGTTTTTCTCTTTTAGGTAATTTTATTGTTTCAGAAGATAGAAGGAGTAGAAGTCTGCTTGTTTGGTATGTATGTTCAAGAATTTGGATCAGAATGTGCATTCCCAAATCAGCGCCGTGTTTATCTGTCATACCTAGATTCAGTCAAGTATTTCCGACCTGAGGTTAAAGCAGTTACTGGGGAGGCTCTCCGTACATTTGTTTACCATGAAATTCTTGTAAGTCCAAACTTCATTGAATTCTACTTAGTGATAATTATTGTCACGATTTTCATTTTACATGTGGTATCAGTGATCTATTTAGTTGAGATCGTTGTCTAACATATTGGACTCTAAACCTTAAATTTTCAGATTGGATACCTTGAATATTGTAAGAAGCGTGGTTTTACAAGTTGCTACATTTGGGCTTGCCCTCCTCTTAAGGGTGAAGATTATATCTTATATTGTCATCCAGAAATTCAGAAAACACCTAAATCAGATAAACTACGAGAGTGGTGAGGCAAATAGTTGTCAAGTTTTTTTTTATTCCTTTGCGTTTCTTGTTACATTTTTGTTAATCCATTGTTATTAATTTCTCTGATTTGCGTGAATGCTGTTTCAGGTATTTAGCAATGTTAAGGAAAGCTTCCAAGGAAAACGTTGTAGTTGATCTTACTAATTTATATGATCATTTCTTTGTAACTACTGGTGAATGTAAGGCCAAGGTAACAGCAGCTAGGCTGCCATATTTTGATGGTGATTACTGGCCGGGGGCTGCTGAAGATCTAATTAATCAGCTTCGTCAAGAAGAAGATGGCAGAAAGCTGAATAAAAAAGGAACAACCAAAAAGACTATAACAAAAAGGGCTTTAAAAGCATCGGGTCAGTCTGATCTCTCTGCTAATGCATCAAAGGATCTGCTACTGATGCATAAAGTAATTTCTTTTCTTCCTAATCTTTTAGCCTTTTTTCCTCTATGATTTTGTTCTGCGTAAAGCCAGTAGATGTGGAAATTACAATCTTGCTACGTCAGTGTTGACATTTTTCGTATCATGACCCAAGGGATTTTAACTGGTTATATTACTCATTCCCCCCCTGTTTTCTTCACTTCAGCTTGGTGAGACCATTTGCCCAATGAAGGAGGATTTTATCATGGTTCACTTGCAACATTGTTGCAGTCATTGTTGTATTCTAATGGTATCCGGAAACCGCTGGGTCTGCAACCAGTGCAAGAACTTTCAGATTTGTGATAAGTAAGACTGCTACTCTATTTAGCTGTGTATTATTATTATTATTATTATTATTATTATTATTATCTTGTATAGCTGAGCTGATCTATACCACATGTGATATAGATCCTAAAAACTTCTATTCTCTCTGTCTGTGTGTGTGACCAAGAAGTATACCACATGTAATACTCTAGCAAGCAATGATTTTATCAGTTGGATTTTATAAATAGTAACATGATTCTGTAGAACGAGAACCTATATATGAGAGGGGTATGCTCTCTTTCATGCACATTATATTGTTTCTATTTTTTTTGCAAGTTTGAATCTATGCTAGGGTTCAATCTTTTTCTGCATTCTACGAATGAAAGCATTTTCAATTCTGACAGTTATAAGTCCAGCCACTTTCATATGCAAATCGTAAATAATTACTAGTACCATAGAGGTATACTATTTATATAACTCCTTGGCATTATTTTTATTATTATTACTATTATTTTTGCTCAGCCTTTGTCATTACATTCTAGATTTAAACTTTAATCACATTTCTTAGCCTTTACACTAATACAAACAATGCAAGTTCTTAATCCTTGGTTTTAGTTATGAAAGATTCCATGGTTGGTTATTCATGTTGATGATGGGCCTTCCGTTGTTAAGTTTCTAGAAATTTATTGTTGAAATAATCTCTGGCGGGGACAGCCTTTTTTAGCAAAAAAGAAATCTTCATATTTTTGGGAAAAAGAAAAAAACATGTAGGAAGTTACCATTGCCTGGTACAAAAATTTCACCTGGTAGTTGACATGTTAGTTCTAATAATATATATCTGCTTAAATGATATTTCAGAGTGACTTTTTTTCCTTCATTTTAAATTCTGTATGTTACAGTCATATTTTTGCTTTTAGAGAAAAGGAAACTGATCCTTCAGCTCTTAAAAAATACTGATTATTTTTCATGTTTCAAGACTTATCTCTCCTTCCCGTTATTAGAAGCCTAATGATGCAATTCTTATCTTTGATCCGTTATCTTCCTATATTCTTATTTCAATACACTTCCACCAACTAGGAGAAAGTTTCCTATATAAATGGATCTGATGTTTCCTTGTTTCTACCTTCACAGGTGCTATGAAACAGAGCAGAAACGTGAAGAAAGAGAGAGACATCCCATCAATCAGAGGGACAAACATGTTCTTTATCCGGTAAGTTTGTCAGAGTACTACATTAATTTACTGCCAGCGTTTGTGTCTGATGCTGCTTCTGTATGCAGACTTGTCTTTTCTTTTCTAATTGAATTTTTGTGGAAAATTGTCATTGTGTAGGTTGAAATAACTGATGTACCTACTGATACAAAGGATAAAGATGAAATTCTTGAGAGTGAATTCTTTGATACTAGGCAGGCATTTTTGAGTCTTTGTCAAGGGAATCATTATCAGTATGATACCCTAAGGCGGGCTAAACATTCCTCAATGATGGTCCTCTACCATCTTCACAATCCAACTGCTCCTGCATTTGTCACTACCTGTTACAAATGTCATCTGGACATTGAAACTGGTCAAGGTTGGCGCTGTGAAGTTTGCCCTGATTATGATGTGTGCAATGCCTGTTACCAAAAGGATGGGGGAATTGATCATCCTCATAAGTTAACAAATCATCCATCCACAGCAGAACGTGATGCACAGAATAAAGAGGCTAGGCAACTTCGGGTCCTACAGGTACTTTTTTTTAATAAATTTATTGAACTCTTGTAATAAAAAATTGTCTCAACTGTTTGATTAGTAGGGAGTGGCTAATTGGCTAAATCTCATCAGAACAAACACGCACACATCTATTCAAAGACCAGTAATGGTGTACATCTGACAATGGCTTGTATCTGGACCCCTTTTTATTCTTTTTTGGGGGGTTGTAGTGGCACCAATAATTTACTTGTAAACATTGAAAAGTGTGACTAATGAACTCTCTATTTGGATGTTTCTGAGATGCTATTGGCACGCTGCACTTAAATATTGAAATATGCTAAATGTAAAGTATCTTTGTTCCCTGATTATATTATTTTCCTTCTATTTGGCAAGTAGATGGTTGGAAAAATGAGTTTATGACTACGTGTGCAAACATGAGATGCGTTCTTCTAACTGGATTGGTTTGAAATTTGCAGCTGAGGAAAATGCTTGACCTTTTGGTGCATGCATCACAATGTCGTTCTGCTCATTGTCAATACCCAAATTGTCGGAAAGTGAAGGGGCTTTTCCGGCATGGAATACAATGCAAAACACGTGCTTCTGGTGGCTGTTTACTTTGCAAGAAAATGTGGTATCTGCTGCAACTTCATGCACGAGCATGCAAAGAATCCGAATGCCATGTACCGCGTTGCAGGTACATGCATGTGCCTTTCTCCCTCCTGAACGGCAAAATGTTACGCTCCTTTCTATGTTTGTGCTCATGTGTTCAATTTAAAGCTAATAAGGTTAAATTTGTTATTTAATACAGAGATCTTAAGGAACATTTGAGGAGGCTTCAACAGCAGTCTGATTCGCGACGAAGGGCTGCTGTGATGGAGATGATGAGACAGAGAGCTGCAGAGGTTGCTGGTAATTCTGGGTAAAAACCAAATTGTTAATATATATTTGGATGTTTTGATGAAAAAAGCTCCCTTCTACATAGGGAGATAGAAAATAGTTTTTTTTCTGCTCCATTGGTTCACTGGTTGGAGCTAAGCAATGATGGAGAAAACCGGCGCATCTAGAAGTTCAGAAGGGGATAGTCATACAATACTACGAAGAGATTGATTCGTGATTGCTTGTTAGGGAACAATTCTTTCGTTCATAAACCCGTGACTAAATTCCCTGCAAAGAAAGCTAATGAAGTTTTACGAGATCTGCCTGCAACAGTCACAAACAATGCGCCTCTCGGAGTTCAAGTACTGATGTGTGTCAGTGGCCTGATTTGATGATTCTTTAAATTTTTATCTTGTATTCCGTGGAATGCCATCCCTTTGGTGGTGAGTGTACTATAATTATTCTAATCTGTCTAAATTGCTCTCTTATAGAGGAATGTGGGAGGGAGGTTTGTTTAAAAATCTTTTGGTTTTGTCTATCTCCTCCACTTCTTTTTTTTGGTTTTCCCCTTCGAACATTGACCCCCCTTTTTGTAGAATGGTTTCTAATTTAAGGATGGAAAAATAAGTAAGCATTAGAGAATAGCAGCTATTCATTTTTACTCAATACTCTAAAATTATGTTTATATAGTTCAAGGAAGGTCTATTTAATTCTTACTCTTACTAATGAATGTTGTTGATTATGGGATTTTAATGCATTTTTTTTCCCTATAGTAGCAACATTTGGTTTTTACATTGGTAAAATCATTTTGTTCTCTTTTATGTGAATCAGTTCAAAGAATATCTCAATGGATAAAATATTAAAAGAGCTTGTGAATTTTATTATTTTATTTAAGTAAGTTTTTATATTTTTATTGTATCTAAGTAAGTTTTTATTTTTAATTTTTTGTATTAATGTATGTTTTTATTTCAAATAAAAGATTGATTTATGTCAAGATTTATTTAGTTATAAATTAAATGATAAAGATTTATTTTGATACAAATTAAAGTTTATTGGTTTATTTGGGTACAAAATAAAAGATAAAAAATTTATTTGATTGTAATAAAATTATGTGTATCTAAGTAAAATAATAAAGTTTGAGGATTTTTTTATTATTTTATCTTATCTAAATTTTGATTTGTTTATAATTTTAAGTATTCATTCCATTCCTTTAAAAGGAGAAAAAAATAGAAAAGTAATCTCTTCATAATTATTAACTTTTGCAATGGATGATCTAAGTTTAAACCTTTTTTTCTTCTTTTTACTGAACTGCATCAAAAATTAGAAAATAGCAATGAGAGTTGTAATTGCAACAACAATAAGTCTTTCTACTAGTTTAAGCAACAGTCTTATTTTTAACTGTTAGACATTAAGATTTTCTTATGGTACTTTAGGGACTATTTTTTAGTAATCTATCCATTACTGATATTATTGGTGATGTTAGTTAAACTTAGTTAAAATATATTAAACTTCTTGAAACAAGGAGAGATCTCTACTGCTACACCTAATCTTTTAATATAAATTATATTAGACAATGGAATGAAGTTGGAGTTCCTAGCACATATCTCTTTTGCCTTCTACTTTCTATTGTGTTTTTCATTTTCTTTCTCAAAATTACATTATGGTATTAGAGCTTTAGAAATGATCATAAGGGCTGTAAGTTAGAGTGCAAACTAGTAAAACTTTCTTTCTCAAAACCTTAAACCCTTTAAAACCTGTTGCATGGCTTTTAGCAACTTTGTAACTCCATCACCTTTTGTATTCATATGAGAAAATTATCCTGTTTGGTTAGTAAAGATGAAGTCATATTTAAGAGCATTTGACTTATGGAAAGTAGTGGAAATAGGGAAAGATACACCACCCTTAAGAGCAAATCCAACAATTGTTTAAATTAAGCAACACATTGAGAAGTTTTCCAAAAAATACAAAAGCTTTGTCTTGCATCCATTCAGCTATAATAGATGTGATCTTCACAAGAATAATAACTTGTGAAACAGGCAAAGAAGCATGGGACAAACTTAAGGAGGAATTCCAAGGGAGTGACAAAACAAGGGAAATTCAAGTGCCTAACTTATAGAGAGAGTTAGAGTTTCTAAAGATGAAAGACGCTGAGATTGTCAAAAAGTATTCTAATAGACTCATAAAGGTAGGTTAACCAACTAAGGTTGCATGGAAAAGAGTTGTTAGATAAAAAGATTATTGAAAAGATACTTGTAAGTGTTCCAGAAAAGTTTGAATTAAAAGATTTTCTCTTTGGAAGACTCAAGAGATCTATCTAAGCGTACCTTGATAGAAGTTGTGAATACTCTTCAAGCTTTAGAGCAAAGAAGAGTTATCAAACTTGAAAATGCATTAGAGGGAGCCTTTCAAGCAAGGCTCAAGGAAAAACATGCAACCAACAATAAAGGTAGGAAGCAATCTAAAGTAAAAAAAGAAAAGAAAAAAATAAGCAAATGGCCATAAAAAGGGAGACAAGGGAGGAAAGTATCCACCTTGTCCTCATTGCAGAAAGAAAAGCCACACCGACAACTACTATTGGTTTTATGATTGTACTAAAATTTTAGCATTTTATCATATCTTTTTAGTGCAAATTTAGTGAATATTTGATTGTTTCATGAGAAATTTGTTTAAATATTCAATGTGTAGGTAAAAATATGAGAATAGAGAAAAAAAATGAAGCTTTTGGACTTATTTTGGATGCATTTTGGTGCAAAAAGCTTCATTAGGTTGAAACTAGTGTGAACATGCTTCAATATAATACATTGGAGATTTTTCCTACCTTTTCCTTAATGGCTTCTTTTGCTTAATTAAGCTTAAATAAACTTTAATTCTAGCTTTAATCTTTATATTTTTCTTGTGAAAATATCATTTTTAGCTCATTAGTGCTTTGTCATCTTTGTAGTAAAGTTGCATGAGCTAAATTGGTAGCACTTACATAGGTGCGATTTAGAAGCCATAATTGGAGCTGGAAATTTCCAGAAATTTTCAAGGTTAATTTGGCAATTAAATGGCTATCATTTGGCTGGAATTTGAAGAACAAAGGGAGTTACAATTGGTGCCCAAAATTGGAGAAAGGAAACAAGCATAACCATTGGATGCATTTGGTGATGATCAAGTAGAAATGTAGCCATTTCTTGGATTCAACAGGAAAGCAAATGGGTAGTTGTTTAGTTGGCAATTTGGAGGCTTCTCATTGGTTATCATTCTGACTTTTGAAAGCCTAAAAGATCAAAAGAAAAGAGCTTGAAGTGAAAAGAAGCAAACTAAGAAGCTTATGAAGCAAGATTGGATGACACCAAGATATCTAACCTATAAATAGGAGAGATGGCCAACCACGTGGGAAAGTTTTTGGCATTTGTAGATTTTTTTTTCATTTCTTGCATTTTTACTTTCTTGCTAATTTTCTTTCTAGCAGTTTCCTCATTCTTTTATAGGGCTATTTGAAAGAAAATTCATTTAAGTTTATAGCAAAATTTACTTTTCTTGCCTTTATTTTACATGCACTATAAGATTCAATCAATAAAAGTTCAATTCCTTTAAGTTTTCTTGTTTAATTTCATGTATTTTCATTTATTGCTCAATTCTTTTTGGCAAAATTTTCTTACGAGGTAGTTACAGTTTTTTGCATTAGTTGTCTTTCAATTCTTTTGAGTTTTGATCCAAAGTTTTTTCTATGAACTCTTAATTCAAATCTCTATAAATCTGAAAATTTTTACATTCAAACTCAAAATTCTACAAAAATCTGGAAAGCTCCGGATGAAGATTTGGAAGCAAAGTAAGAAATCAAGTGGTGACGGCATTTGAGGATTCATCTCTCCTTGCTAAGCAATTAGTCCAATCTTTTCTCACTTTGCTCTTGTTAATTAATGTGTTTACTTGCTTAGATTCAATTCCTTGCTTTTAGTTCCATGTTTTTTTATTTTGTTTGGATGATTTTCTTTTAAGTGCTTTGTTTTTCTCTTTACTGCATTCAATTCTTGTTAAAGTTCATTAAGCTTGTTCTTGCATTGTTTGTTTTAATTTCTTTGTTAAGTCTTGTAGTAAACTTGTAGATCTAAGTTGCTTTAGCACAGTTGTAGTTCATTTGCTTTGTAAGATTGTAGATCTAAGCTTTAGTTTTCATTCGATTAAATTCCATATTTGAAAATTTAAGTTTGGTTTGTGTTTTTTAGTTGTTCTTGAGATTTTACTTCTTTAATTGCAATTCAATTGTGTTTTGATTCATATTTACTTACTATTTTCTCAAGTTAGAAGTTGTTCAGATTATTTTTATGTAGTTTCAAGATCATATTTCTTTTTGAAGTTAGTAGTTATTTATTTTTTATTTCAATATTTTAGTTGTATTTTAGGTATCACTTGAGCTCTCTAATTCCAATTTCTTAGTTTATATTTACTTCCAAAGCATGTTAGATTTAATTCACAGCACTTTAGTTACTCTTTGTTAAGTTTTTCTAGTATGCTTGCTTTACATGTTATAGATATGCTTTTGGTTATTAATGTTTCTTGTTTTTGGTTCTATTCTTATTGATACTAGTTTCATATTTTATACTCTATTTGATTAAATTAACTTTAGATTGAGTGTGAAGATAATTGGTACTTAGTCTAGACTTTTTAACTAATCCCTGTGATGATTGGTACTTAGTCTAGACTTTTTAACTAAACCCTGTGGAATGATATCTTGACTTAGGTCACTTTTATTACATGAACGATCTGTGCATTTGCAGAAATCACCAATCAAGTTTTTAGCACTATTGCTGAGGATTAGGAGTCAAAAGTCTTAGGCTAATATCATGATTTGACATGCTCATCTATAGATTAGTTCCCCTTTAGTGTACATAAGCTAGGCTAGTTACTAACTTGCCTTGATCTTGTTTCTTTAGGGTATGCAAAACTAACTTTCCTTATTGTTTCTTTCCATTAGTTGTATATACTTAGAATTTTCCTTTAAAAGCCTCCCATTTGGTCTAGTTCTCCTTGTGGTTGATGTAAGCACTTAATTAGAAAGCATGAGTTGATCCCTTTAGATCCCAAGATAGAAAGTAGACTTAGGATACTTAAAAGGGAAAGGCAATCTGATCTTACGATAATGGCTGAACAAGCTAACAGTAAAGCTCTTAAAGATTATACTTTGCTCAATCTTAGTGGTTTCCCACCTAGCATTAGGAGGCTAACCATTTAAGCTAATAACTTTAAGATTAAACCTACAATCATCCAAATGATTCAAAATTTAAACATTAATGGTCATACGAGTAAAGACCTCAATGCTTACCTATGGAAATTTTTGAAGATCTATGATAAATTTAAACATAATGGTGTTATTGATGATGCCATTAAGCTTAGGTTATTTCCTTTTACCCTTAGAGATAGAACGAAGAGTTGGTTAGCCTTTATGCCACTAGATTCTATTGCTACTTGGGATGATTTAGTTCAGAAGTTTATGGTAAGTTTTTTCCTCTAGCCAAGACTGCCAAGTTGAGAAATGATATTACCACTTTTGCCTAGCATGATTCAGAGATCTTGTATAAGACATGGAAAAGATACAAGGAGCTTTTGAGGAGGTATCTACACTATGGACTACGAGATGGTTAGAGATCTAGATTTTTAAAATGGATTGATACTTGCCACTAAAGCTATTCTAAATGCTGCCACAGGTGGTGCCCTCATGAGTAAAACTTTGATGTTGCATA